CTGTTTTTGTAAACATCATTTCACTCAGTCCACACAATAACTCTCTCAGGTGGTACTGAGTGCCCCACATAGCTGTGGGGGCCAGGATAAGATTGTTCAAGGCCACGTAGCTATTAAGTAGAAGAATCAGGATCCAAACCAAATATGTTTAACCCTAAATCCAATATTTTCTCACCATACCATCCTCAAACATTTCTGAGAAAATTTTCTTGGAGAATTATGATTTATTTATAGAATTTTGCAATTTTGCCTTTTATTTCAATTATAATCTAAAAATGATATATCTGTTGGATAACCTAATGTCTACTGTAAAAACTAGCACTGACTTAACATTTTAGCACCTGAGGGAGTGAAGGGAACGCTACAGAATATAGGAATAGCAGATTTAGGAAGCAACAGCATCTACCTCTCAGTCTGAGGCAGAGTCCTCAAGGAAGGAACAGACTAGGAAGAGATCCAGGAGCACAAAGGAGGGGAAAGAACGATGGATTTAGAACTGAGAGATTGTAAATTGGGAAGAGGCACATACCTTATCACAGAGGTCTACCCTGACTACACTAAGATAACAATCTTCCAACTTCAGTGCTTTATGTGTCTTATCACCACTTGGAATACTATACAGATTTTTGTTGATCTGTTTAATGCTAGTTTCCCAGCGTTGGAATACCAAAACACTGCTTATCCTTGCAGGTCTGACACATACAGATCTTTAACAACTGTTAATTAAACAAGTGATTATTGAAATTGAACTTTTTCACATTTTCTTGTTTTTAAATGTTTCTTCTTTTGTGAGCTTATTTATATCTTTACCTACTCTTAATTGTTCAGCTTTCATTATTTGTTTGAATGAATTATTTACATATTAAGGGTATCTAACCTTTTTGCCATTTGCAGGGAAAATATTCTTTTCTTATAGTTGTACATATTTTTTGTTTCTAGATTTTTCTTTTTTAGTTATTACACCTTGAGCTTTTACATGGTCAAATATGATATTGTTCCCTTTCGTAGTTTCTTTCATTGCTTTTAAGCCTTTTAACACTTTCCTCGCTCTAATTGCAGATATTCATCATGTGTGTATTTGTTGTTTTTAATTATGACATTTAAATTCTTTCTCTATAATGTATTTTAGTATATAATGTGGAAAGTATGTGACAAGCTTTTTTAAAAATTACATTTCTATCTTTCTGGTATATTGAACTCATAAATTCAATTAACATTTTGTTAGATATTTATTCATTCAGAAACATTTATTTATTTGAGATATAATTGAATAACATTATATTAATTTCAGATGTACAATGTCATGATTTGATATTTGTATATATTGCAAAATGATCACCACAATAAGTCCAGTTAACATCTATCACCATACATCGTCACAAAATTTTGTTTTCTTGTGATGAGAACTTTCAAGATCCACTCTTCTAGCTACTTTCAAATACGCAATATAGTATTATTAACTGTAGTTACCATGCTGTACATTACACCCCTTTGACTCATTCATTTTATAACTAGAAATTTGTACCTTTTAACCTGTTCATCCATTTCGCCCACCCCCCACTACCTGCCTTAGGCAACCATTAATCTGTTTTTTGTATCCATGAGCTCCATTCTTTTTAGACTACACATATAAGTGAGACTACAAGGTATTAATCTTTTTCTGTCTGACTTATTTCAGTTAGAATAATGCCCTCAAGATCCACCCATGTTGTCACAAGTGGCAAGATGTCATTCTTTTTTGTGGCTGAATAATATTCCATTGTTATATATATATATATATATCACATTTTCTGTGTCCATTTGTCCACTGACGTACATTTAGGTAGTTTCCATGGCTTAGCTATCGTAAATAATGCTGCAATGAACATGATGGGGTGCATATATCTTTTTAAGTTAGTGGTTTCATTTTCTTTGGATAAATACCCAGAAGTAGAATTGCTGGATCATATGATAGTTTTATTTTTAAGTTTTGGAGGAACCTCCAAACTGTTTTCCATAGTGACTCCATCAATTTACATTCCAACCAATAATGCACAAGTGTTCCCTTTTCTCTATGTCCCCGCCAAAACTTGCTTATGCTCCCCTAAGAAAGAGTGATTGTTTTCTTCATTGACCCTGGGTACTAATAAACTTCAAATCCTCATCAATGTGATACATGAAAAATGGTAACTTTTCGCTGTCTATATCTGCAGTTAAGTTGTAAATCTGGGCCTCTTTACATATTTTATTGTTGATGGTTATTTATTTATTTATTTTTTGAGGAAGATTAGCCCTGAGCTGACATTCTCCTATTTTTGCTGAGGAAGACTGGCCCTGAGCTAACATCCCTGCCCATCTTCCTCTACTTTATATGTGGGACGCCTGCCACAGTATGGCTTGATAAGCAGCACGTAGGTCTGCACCTGGGATCCGAACTGGCGAACCCTGGGCTGCCGAAGCAGAACATGAGAACTTAACTGCTGCACCACCAGCCTGGCTCCTGGTATTTATTTTTTTATTGTTTGATAAGGTCTTTTGTCCATCTTTCTGTTGGGTTTTCTAGTTCAAATTGTTTTGCAATAAGTCTTGGCATATTGCAGAAAATATCCCTTTGGTGGTCATATAATTTTATTAGGTAGCCCTTATCTTTTTTCATATCATTTTTTTTATTACTGAGTTATGTGATTAACATTTATGTTGTTAAATTTATCGTTCATTTCCTTTATATTTCTCAGTTTTGTTACATAATTGAAGGGTTTTCTTCAAAGTGTAAGCCTTCAGTCTTCTATTAGGAGGAGAAAAATGTGGTCACCTGGGTGCTTAGAATGGGAGAAAGATTACTCTAAATGGTAGGCTTTCAACCCATTTTCATTTTCTTATTCCCATCCACACCTACAATTTTACAACTACTTGGTGTTACCATTTCCTGAGACTTCCTTGGGTTCTACATGACAGAATAGTTGTTTCAGAGCTTTCCCACTATTAGTGGTCAACTTTTTCTGTCCTGCTAAATCAGTTACCTCTTATCCAATGAGTCACCAAGTTCAAAAGTTTTGATGTTCCTCCCTTTTATCTCTTTACCCAAATATTAGTGGGGTTTTGGGAGGGAGTGGCGGTTTAGTAAAGACCTGTATTCAATCCATCATGTTTACATCTCACTCATGGAAAAAATAAACCACCAGTAACAATAATCATAGTCCAGACAAATATTATGTATAGTATTTGTATATCTACTTTGGAAATATATGAACCACAGTACATTTTTGTCTCTAATTCTAGATATTAGAAAATTCTAGTCTAAAACATGCAAAATACAACAACACATATTGTTCTATTAACCAAATACCCCACAACAAAGTACAGTAGAAAAACAAAGTAAAGCAACAGTATTAGTAGTTTATCATTAAATGATAAAAATGAAACAATAGGAAACCATAACCAACTGAAGACAACATTGCTGATGCACCTATTCCAGTATCTTTCCCTAATATTATATTAATTACTAATATATGCTTGATAACATCAGAATGAATGAATCTTCAAAACATATTGAGATAAAGAGACAAGAGATAGTATGTACAGTGTTCCAGTATTTACATAAAATTTGAAAATATGAAAAACAATACTAAATACGCCTAGGGAAACACATATGGAAAAACTATGTTGTGATATTCATGGACATGACAAGCAATAAATTCAAGATAGAGGCAGGAAAAATAAGGGAGTTTCAACTCTACAAATTATTTTGTTTCTTAAGCTGGCAGGTGAGTATACGGATGTTTATTATGTTAATCTCTACATCGCACCTGAAATATTTCATAAAAACTAATATGTCCAAAACCTTATCCTTTTTGCCAAAGCAATTAAAACAGTAGTGTGGTACTATGGCAATAGATTGACATTATGTGAATAAGGTGATAGTAGAAGCACTATGGGGCGAGTAGATTAGACAGTTTCTTTGCTATATAAGGGAAAATCGTCTCTAATTATCTTTGTTAGTTGTAATAGAATAAAAGCAATTGTAAGGCTATAAATATACTCCCAGTGCCACGCAATCTGTTGATTTTCTCTAATGAAGATTTGATATGTAGACTCACAGTTGTGAGCGGTGCCAACATGTGATTAAGTCTGTGATGGTCTACAGTTATTGCCCACAAACCTTCTTGCTTTTTCACTAGTCAAATGGGCAAGTTAAATAAGGGTGTAGACACAGTTACCACCTCTGAACTTTTTGTCTAGGTTGTAACACAAATTTCTGAATACCCAAGACATTTGAACTTATTTTGGACTTACAGTCTTGCTGAGAGTGAATGGATAGCTTCAGAAGCTTCCATTTGCCACTTTCTACTATGATAGCTCTTTAATCTTTGGGTCAGAGAACCAATGTGGAGATTTTGAGAATTTCTAAGTATATTGATTTCTACTCTGTAGTTTGGAACTGGAGAATTAAGCGTAGGATTGGTCTGCAGTCCTACTGTGGGTAGTCCGAGAGGCACTAGGGCCATGACTTCACTGTCTTGACCTTTATAAGTTCCAGTCTGATCCACATACTGTGGTGGTTCTTCAAGTCTTTGGAGATAAGTATTAGTTTTAAGTCAGTATCTAGTAAGCTACAAAAAATTTTTTTCCACTTCTCAGTGTCAGTCACCTTGATAAATGGCCGCAGGTTTCTTTGAGGGATGGCCTGAAGAAAGGTTCATGGAATACGTACATGACTGCATTGCTGGGTGCTTTCTCTAGCAATGTGAACTCCCCTTCAATTGGGGAGGCCAAATCTATGAACTGGTTTAGGTCCAGCACCTGGGTAAGTGTTTGTGAATTATCATTATGGCAACTTCTTTCACATTTCTGCCAACAAACTTAGATGTGTATATATTTTTAATTATCACTGAGGTCAGCATATGCCCCTATTATCTCTGGCCTACAGATGCCAACCAGAACAGAGCTCTTCAGGGATGCAGGTGCATATCCTCATCAATGCATTTTTTTTAAAGTCTTAGTGAAAAAAAGAATTTCTGAGCTGTTTTAAAAAAATTTGAGCATGTTTATTCATAAGAGTTACACAAAAGCTTTAAGTATGTTATCAATTATGATGACTAAATAATTTATCACAGTCAACATTACATTCATATCTATAGTTCACAGTTACTGAATTTACTGTTTTAATTACCTTTTAAAATTCAGATATTATCAAATTTAATTCATGAAAGAGGATGTATTCAATAGAAGACTTTTTCAAAACGTGTGAACTGATAAAAGAAGATATGAAATTTTTACAGTCATTTTTTTTTAAGGGAAGTCACTTTGCTCTTAAGAAGAAACTGCACCATTAAAGATGTTCTATCTTATTTCTGTGGGGCATTTGCAGGTGGCCGGGCAGCTTTCCATCATGTCTTTTGTATCACAGCCGTGTTTTCCAACCAAGTCGTCACAATTTGAGTACTTATTCACATGCATGCAGGGATTGGCTAAAATGAAATAAAAGGCAAATAAAACGCTGCTTCTTGGATGAAACTATCAGTTACCCAAAACTGTATTATCTCAGGGGAAATCTACTTACTCTGGACATTCTGTTATTTAAAGTTCAGTACATAATAAGATGTAACAGTTTTAAACGGCTTAACAGACATACCTTATGTAGCAGATATAGAGTTTACACAGCTAGAGCTTTATAAAATCAAATAAAGTTTCCTGTCTTGTACCAATAAGGTGCACAGTAACAGAAATAACCTTAATTCCCAATATGTTTCAGGTGTTACTTATTTAGCCCAGTGTGTATATGTGTGTGTGTCTGTGTGCTATCATATCTGCTTGTGCGATGAGTGGATTGCACAAAGGGACAAGGGTACCAAAGGGGAACACAAATCCATCTCCCATTCCATTCAACAAACCACAGGAAGGAATAGCATCCTCTACTAGCAGTGGCTCTGGTGTGTGTGTGTACTGTCTGGGGATTAACAGAAGACTAGCTGGAACCTTCAACATTTTCTTAAAATAGCCCCACACTCTTTTTTCAGGTGCCTGCTTCCAGTGAAATGCAGCTGTTAGGGAGCAATCAAGTGATGGAACTGGCAGAGTGTGTCTGAGTTCTGACTGTGTGCATATGTGTGTGTGTGAGACAGAGGGAAGGGGTAGCCACACTGGGGAGCACAATATTAAGTTTCTTTTTTACATATTCCCTTTTGTTTAGGGGCAAAACCAAATCAGGCCTGACCCTGTCTGATATTGTAGTCAGTTGGTTTCTATACTTTTGCCTTTTCCCTCCCTCACCGAGAAAAAGAAGGACTTAAAGGGAAACTTAATCTCCACTTTGGCTTGGGTTAACTTTGCTCTGAATGACTACCTCATGTCTGTATTGTTTTAGTCATCATTACTCTCAAATGGCAGCTGAACTTACCACTTCATTTTTAGATCTGGTTTTATTGCCAAGGTCTAAAAGGTTGATGTAGGAAAAGGAAGACCCAGAAGCAGAATGGGGGCATATATCTATCAGGGCAGATTCTGACACAGTCATCCTCAGTAAGGTCAGTGTCCATGTAGACATCACCACGTAAAGATGCAGAACGGATCTTACTTACTGCAAAGCCCATTATCACAATGATGAGGGCAGTCTCCACATGGTTCTCCTTTTTTATATGGGGTATTCATTCTTTTCACATAGTTTCCCCTGGCAATCAAATTTTTGAAGGACAGAATTAGTGACAACATTAAGGAATATAGGATTGTGCCATGGGAGTGGAATATACAGCAAGAGTCTCAAGAGCTTAGGAAAGAAGAGGAGGGACTTTTGAAGGGTGAAGCCACAGAGACAATTTCCAGGTAAATTGGTAGTATATAAATATATGCAGAAGAAAGGAGATGGGGTTCCATCTCCTACTCTACTGCCTTTACTCCCACTGCCTTTACAGAGGACCAAAGGCGTGCAGCCAGAAGACACGTTTGCAGTAAGGTTCCTAAGAATTTTTGGTATTAGCATCACGCAGACTATTACTTACTTCTTTATTAGATGAATTTGCTTTCATTGAGAATCTATTATGTGCCATGAACGATGCTAGACACTTAACATAGCTTTTCATATTTAATCCTCAGAAAGATCCTACAAGAAATGTATTGCCACTGCTTCTTTATAGATAAGAAAAAAGGAACTCCATGTTATTATGTTATTGGGGAACTGAAGGTCACACAACTAGTGAGTGGCAGAGCCAATGTTTGTATTTGAACCTTGTGGCCCCCAGAGCCCATTCTCTATACACCATGCTATCGATATCCCCATGGTTTATCACCCCTGAGAATGCACTACTTGTTGTTTCCTGTCTTTCCCAACTCTCTCCATTCTTCAAAACCTGCCTTCAAGGCTCTCCATGAAGCTACCCTAGAACCTCAGATTGATGAAAGGGGTTGGATTATAGCTCAAGGTGCAAGCCACTTGGCCTACTATATGACCAAAAGGATCTCTTGCACTGTACTTACCCGGGGCAATACTGGCAAACATAGAAATACTTTAAAGTCTTGTGAGGACAGTAGGCTAATGCACAGCCGAGCTGGTGGGAAGTGGGCCAAACAAGCTGTAAGTGAAAAGTTTAAAATCAAGTCATTTTAATTAAATTTATAGTGTTCACACTGTTGGCTTTTTGTTTCTTAACTGCTTATTAGAAATCATCAATGAAGGGAATTTTAAAAGCTGAAAAGTATAGGCTTCAGATATTTTAAATTTCCCTATAAACTTGATGATTATTCTTTTAAAATCTCTCTTACAACTATAGCGCTTCATTTAACATCGAAGGAAGCTTTATGCATTCATGATACCTTTGTTATAACAGTGATTCATTCCCAAATTCATAAATATGTAGACAACGGAGTGTTGGGCAATGAGGAGAAAGTCACCTACAAGCAATTTGATTTTTGCAGGAAAAAGAAGAAAAAAAGCTTATTGTCGTTGTGTTTTTGTGCAGATAATCTCTGGTGCCCCAATATAACTTTTCTTTAATTTTAATATAATACAAAAATTATCTATTCAAAAATTTTAAAAAGTGGATATATAAGGGGCTGGCCCCATGGCCGAGCGATTAAGGTCGCGCACTCCGCTGTAGGCGGCCCAGTGTTTTGTCGGTTTGAATCCTGGGTGCAGACATGGCACCGCTCATCAAGCCACACTGAGGCGGCGTCCCACATGCCACAACTAGAAGGACCCACAACTAAGAATATACAACCATGTACCAGGGGGCTTTGGGGAGAAAAAGGAAAAAATCAAATCTTTAAAAAAAAAAAGTGGATATATGAGTCTAATATTGTTGATTATTTTTCTCTTTAGCATTTCATCCTGTGACTGGCCCAGAGAAAAGACTTCAAGACTTTTGTTTAAAGGTCATTTACTGTTGCTTAAATATAATCGAATTCATTTCATCACTTTACTTCCAGAACTATCATTTCAAAAAATCTGCTGTGGCAAATCAAGGTCACAATGATGAGATAAGTGTTTGTGGGTATCCAAGAAATAGTAGACAGATGCTTATGTATATTAACAGGTAGCACATACTTTATAAAGTAGGGGAGCTTTCATGCTCACATAAAGATTACATAGCTCAGATGAGTGCTTGGCATTTCCATGATAAACTCAGGAGAAAAAGTAATTCTGGGATGGTAGAGGACAAGAAACATTAAGCTTTTGTCATTTCATTTTTACCTGGGTGTAATGGCCAATTTTAACATTTGCTCGAGTACGTCCAAATCCATATTTAAAATATTTAAGTTCCTCGTAAAAATATTGGATTACATCTGGCCAAGATTTGATACGACTGGACATGAGTATATTCTCCCCACAGCCAGCAACTAAAAATTAGAAAAAACAATGAACCAACAGTTAAACCACTAGTGAAGAATCCTCATTGAAAACTATTAAAACATTACATTTTAGTTTTGGGGATCAATATCACCTCCCAAATATGTGTAGCCATCTTTCACCAACTGACCTATGGGAGATATCCAATTTCAATTTCAACAGCTTGGCTCTGTGATTTGGAATCACTTTTCCTGCAACCTAGGAATAGCTCTTTTTTAAAGGTAAACAGTAATTCATTTGCAAACTGATTATGTAGTTTCATGCAATCACAGTCATCATTTTGGTAACACTAGTAAACTGATAAACACTGTGAATTGGTAAGTATTGCTTATCTGCTATGCCTTCATGATATGCATACAGGGGATAGTAAAAACAGTTTCAGACATAACTTTGATCCTTGGCTCTTCAGCTAAGGAAATAAGGGGAGCACATGTGAAGCAGAGAGCAAATAGATCAGATAGAGATGGGTTATCTAGTAGGAAAATGACAAAATCAAAGCCATGGATGCAAGAGTGACAATGGCATGTATGTGATGAGGTGGAGGCTGACCAGATATTAGTAAAAACGAGTAAGATAGATTGGAGTAGAATGGACAGGCGGAGTGGGGTTAATTCTACATTAACACCACTTACACTTATGTTCTGGAAAGTTATACTGAAAGAAATAATTATTTTCACCAGGAGCTTGTGGTTTGGTAACTTTGACTATACTGTGTTAAGTGGGAGATTTTTTTGCATTTCAGGAATAAATTTGGCATGTGGCTAAATAAGGATGATGAGTATCTAAATAGACTTAACTTCAGAAAAAAGTACTTCAAACAATTTTTTGTTGTTTTCCTCCCTCAAAGCTTTTGCCTTTGATCCCTACTGACTCATTTTACTTTTTTGACTTGGAGTAGCAGGAGTAAAGAGATTTTAGGACAAGAGTTTAAAAAAGATGGAAGGACAATAAGAAAAGAAGCAGGGTGTGTGTCTGTGACAGGTGATAAAGCTAAAACCAACAGACAAAAATTAGATCACCTTTCCCAAACTGCCATGTCTGCTACTTCAATGATTTTTAGTTAATTTTTAGTTTTTATAAAATGACATATCATTCACTGGAGAAGCTTGACTTACAGCTAATTTTTCGTTTGGAGGAAGAACTGTGAGTCAGGGTGCACTTTTTTGCCCACTTTTCAGCATTCTTTGCAGCTTCGTGATTCCACATCTTGAAATAAATGAAAAACATTTGGAAATGAAAATACGAAGCTTTCATGAGATAATGGAGATGTGGATGATTATATTGAAAACAAATGCCTATCTGATGAATTATTTTCCCGAATTTCTTATTTTTCCATTGTTCTAACAAAAGATACATTTCTTGCTTTCCTAAATGACTTAGTTACTAGGAAGTATCTTTCTATATGTGGGTCACAGGTGAAATATTTTAGGAAAAAGAATAGCCATCTTCTTAGCAGGAAAATAAATATTTCAAAACCAAGGCTCACTCTTTTAGATAGACAATACGGGTGATAATTCTTTTCTTTTCTAGCTTGGGGCTATGGCTATTTAACTAGAAATGAGACTAAATATGTGCTGTTTTCCCCCCAAAATGTCTATTGCATCTGCAGTAGTCTTCATATGTTAATATACATTGGATGTTATAGTAAGCATTAGTAAGATTGTGTTATACTAAATGAAATACAACAGTGTGAAGGACAAAATGTATGGAAAAATAAATGCTCACCCTTATCTCATATACAAAATAGAAAAAAATCTAGGAAAATCAATGCAAATAGGGATTTAGTATTATCGTAATTCAGACAAGTTAAGCCAAGATTACTAGCATTCTTTTAAAGGAAGAAAAAAAAAAATGTCCCAAGCTAAGATGAGAAGAAATGTTCAGAATAGAGCAGACTTATCTTGTATCTTTGGGAAGGCAATTCCAATTACTTATTGCGGTCATGAGGTATTTATCCTGTGCATTTGGCACAACACACTTTCTCAGAAGTGAAGCTAGACATGAGGCTCACTGGAAAAATTCCTTCCCATAGCCTAGATTAAGAACCGACTGTCATAGAGTCGCAGAAATGGAATGAACCAGAAAGATAATAGATTCTATTTCCCATTAATTACAGGAATCCTTTCCAAAAAATACTCATTTTGACCATAATTGAAATATGTGTTCAGTACCTTCTAGGACAGCTCACTGTAGCATTAATTGCTACACAGATTTTTTTAATCTATTGAGGTATAGTATAGCCTCCAAATACCTATGATTTGTTGATTCTAGCTCAGCCCTTTGGGAAATCTAATTCATTTGTCATATAACACTTTAAATACTTGAATTGAAAAGAGAAACGGGAACTAATTTCTATTTCGCATCCCATATGTTACTGGCACTTTATTTGCATATTTACTTTAATATTTCTCTAATAATCCTCACAAAGATTGAACAAAGTTTGAAGTATCATTCCCACTAATAGCCAAGAAAGCTGAGGCTCCTCTAGATTAAGTAATTATCTTAGAGTCAACTATCATATCCTCCTGGGATATTCTTTATTTAGCCCAAATTATCTCCTACTTTATTGTGTTTGGGTTTCCAGGCTCTGCACCATGCTAATCAACATCTTCGGTATATGCTCCTTTTATTAATGTGTTGTCCAAATCTGTTCACATTATATAACAAATGATCTGGTCATGGCCAAAAAGAGTGGGACTCTCATATTCCAGACCTATATGCCATATTTTATTATACAGTTTAAGTTTTCATTTGTAGTTTGGCATCTAATTATTCAAGTTAGGTAATTTACAGGGTTTCTTCCACAACATTGGTCCATTAATTATATCTTCATCCTAGAATGATAGAATCAACATGTTCAGTTCAAACGCAGGGTGTTGCATTTAACCACCAGCCAACAGGTCAACTTTCTAGTGAAATAAACAGATTAGAGCATTTCACATATGTAGATCCTAGCTTAACGTCCATTGCTAAATGATTAAATGCTAGTTGATAACGATCCATCAACATGACAAAACTTACCATTTTAAGCATGTTGGAAGCAGTGGGCTTCACCATCCTTCTCATGTCATTGTGTGTATTAACAATCTCCATTTGGATTGATAGATGACGGGTGGATAAAGAGGAAACTGAGATATCTGACTTTAAAATGAAGCAAAAAGTTACTAAGGACAATGTTACCATATTGAAAACCAAAGTAACAGAACTACAATTGCTTTATTTCAATGTGGAAGTTAATAAAAATGTTTAGCTTTGTGTTCTCTAGCTTTAACATCAAACTCACCCAGAGGGCTAGTTAATACACGATTACAGGCTCCACCCCCAGAGTTTCTGATTCAGGAAGACTGGGTGGGGTGAGAGAATTTGCCTTTCCAACAGGTTCTCAGGGACCATGCTTTGAGAATCAATAAGTAGTCTGACTCATAAAATTGCGCGGAACTTGGGCTTGTCCTTTTGAATATCACCATTTTTTGCCTTCAATAATAGATTAATTTGATCCACAAGACCTATTTACACACGATCCTATCCTATAACATGCAAGAATTTAAAGTCCTCATCATCGGCCTAATTATCACCAGAAAATGCCAATAGAACAAAAAAATAGTTCCAACCTTTTACTCACAAAGAGAATTTGAGCCATATGATATCCAACAAGAAATATCTACTCAAAATGCAGAGAATTTCAGGCTTAAAAAACCACAGAGAAATGTAAGAAGGCTATAGTAGATCCAGATATTATTTAGATTAAACAATATGAGTGGCATTCTGGGGTGTCTCCGCCTACTGTATTCAGTATCTTATAGAGATTATGAGTTGTGTGCATACTTATGTTTAAACCGCCCTCAGAAATTGTTATCCTTTTCTGTCTAAATAAGAGCATAACTAAGGGGCAACATATTTTTTAAAAATGGAAAAATTACTCATTAAAAATTATGGACTGAAAAAGCTGAAAGAAACCCCAGAAATCATTTAGTAGATGCTGTGCTGGTTCTTCTCTATTTGCTGTACTGCCCAACCTGTGTACTGCCCATCCTTCTGTGCCCTGACCTGTGGGCTGGAGCTGACCTTTCTGGTCTGCACGCCCTGGGCTCACTTGTCTTACTGAGGCTTTCTGGATAGAGTGAATCAAAGGGAGGCACTGGTAGGAAAATAGAGGGTTGAGATGGGGTAGAGGTCGGCACATTTCTTGCCACTCCCTTCCTACTTCTGCACTCCATCTCTGGAGTAGATATCTCCATTCTTGATCCCATTTTTTTGGCTTCAAACTCCATAACATTATTTCTTCCTTTAGTCCCTGAGGCCTAGCAGTGGAAAGGCTTTCCACTGCTGCTGGTCTCTACCTTTGTTCCTTCAACCCTGTTCCTTCCTCTATAAATATCGCTTCATTAATGCTCATGCACTGAAAACATTTGGGTTGAAAAAAGAAATGGTAATGATGTGACATGATGGAGGTGTTAGCTAAAGCTATGGTGGTTATCATCTGTAATATATAAGTGTAACAAATCAACATGTTGTACAATTATGTGTATGTGTCAATTATATCTCAATAAATTTGGAACAAAAGAAAACATCTGTGTTAAATTCTGATCCTTATCTAGACTCTGAGTGAAAGAAGTGCCTTGTTTTACCCAGGAAAGAACAGATTCAGAAAGGTTGACTGGATTATGGAGAATCTCTTTTTTCATTATATCCAGAAACCAATTAATTTAAACTTAGAAGTGCAAATTAATAAACAGATAACATACCGTTTATGCTTATAGGCTCTCATTTAATAATGACGGCAACATATGGAAGCTACCATTGTTTTTTCGAAAACAGCTTACCACATTAAGCATTTTGCTATCAGTGTGCTCATATGTCTTTTTTATTTCTTGGATTTGCTAATAACATCTTTTGACTCACTGATCAAACCCAAAGGAAGTATTTGGCAAAAAAACCCCACAAAAGACGTTCTGAAAATAAGTTTCAGAGGATCACAAGCATTTGAGTATATTAAGTACACCACTAAAGCTGGGCAAGTTTGCTTAAATAACTGAATTAGCGTCTAATTTCTTTGCAGTAATGCATCCTTTTACTCAGACATCACCTCACATTGACCTTCTCATTATTGCTTTTCCAATCACACCATTACCAAACACAAAGCAGCAAGAATAGTCCCTGATGTTTTAAAGTGCTATGTGAATAACAAGAGGGCAGAAGGCCAAACGTGCTCTTAAAGTTATAGCTCACACGATTAAGAAGCCAAAAGCAAATGATAACTGAGACCCTTGAATGTGCAATGGGTTTCCTGGAGGCCAACACTGTGAGTACTAAGCAGCAGACCCATCACACTCAGCTTTGGGGATATTCATAACATTCATTAATATATTGTCACATTTTCTTTCCCTGTATCTTAAAAAAGCTGTGAAAGAATTTTAATTTCTACACTTTATGGAAGTACTATTATATAATTTGTTTCTCAAAGCACCCCATTGTGGTAAGAATTATTATCTCCACTGGAAAAAATGAAGAAATTAAGGTTCAGAGATATTCTAGACTAAATAAATCACTCCTTAATGGACACTGCTCAGAATAAATGGCAGGATTGACTAAAACTCATGCCCATTTTATAGATGGAAATTAGACATTTTAAAAATCTCTTATCTAAACTTACAAAATCAGTGAGCAAAAATGCCAGAATGTGAACAAATTCTTTTGACACTAAATAAATCCTAGGGTCTTTCCGGGTCAAGAGACTGGCACCTACAATGCAATGATCACTTAGGAAATAGCACTTCTAAACTTTAGCTAAAATTCTTCTTCCCATGTGCTGATACTAATCTACCTACACGGTGCACAAAGATGGTAACCAACTATGGAAAACTTGTTTTTCCTTATCTTCTTTTGAGAAATATGGAAGATGCTTTCTTCTTTTTGTTTTACTCAAATAACATCCTAGTCTGGTAAAAGCTTCAGTTCTTTAGAAGTCAAACCCACTATCCCTTTAAATAAATACAGAAGTCAAATTATGATAATCACTAAACTTCAAGGGTATAAAACTACCTTCCTTTTTCCTGTTACACCACCTAACCTACTTGTTCTTATAGTCAAGGAGGGTAAAAGGAAGTAGAAATTTACGGGGCAGATCTTTCATTTCTTCATTGAGTTTCCTCTTTCAGCAAGGAGTGGGATATATCCTATTTTTCTAAAAGCTTATATCTTTCTCTACTTGTTCACTTTCCACTTGTTTCTCAACCTACTACATTTTGTCTTCTGTCCCCACAACCCTACTGAACTGGCATTTGCTGAGACCATCACAACCTCATCAATGGTAAATATAATGGAAACTTTTCATTCCTTATGCTATTTGTCTCAGTAGCATTGGGAAATGTTGCGTACATCTTTCTTCTTGAATCACTTTCCCCTTGACTTTTGTGATGTTGCTATTTCTTCGTCTCAGTCTCCTTCCCTTTAAGCTTCCCTTCCTCTGGCTCACTGTTCAATCTTGGTATTCTTCAGTATTCTTTCCTTTTTTACTTTATACATTTTCCACCTTTGCAGTTTCGGTGTCACTTATACGCTGATGACCCCCAAACCTCTATCTCCAGCTCAGATCTCATTCACGACTCACCTGAAACCTACCTGCGCCAGACGAATTCATCCTTGGCTCCCCTCTATGCCTGATCATCATCAGGTGCCCTCTATTCTAGTGAATGGCATCACCAGTGACCCAGTGATGCAAACTGATGTTGTCACCCTCTCCTCGCATCTCATGTCTAATCAATCTCTGAATCCTGTAGCTTCTACTTTGGAATTAGATCCTCATTCCCATAATCAAGCACAGGCCACTATCATAACATTTCACTTACATTACTGAGCAAGTTCCCAACGAGTCTCCCTGCCTCCTGTGTTGCCCTCTGTCATATGATAGAGTGGTCTTTCTGAAATGCAAATCTGACTCTGTCTGTCTCTAATTTGAACGCTTCCTGATTGCTTAGGTCTGATAAGACTGGAGCCTCCTCTTACAACTCCAGCTTCATCCCACAGTTCATCTCTTCTAACTCCACCAAACATGACTGTCTCTTACTTCTTCATACTCCAAACTGGCTTCTGCTCAAACTCTCATGCTCTCTCTCTTATCTGTCACACTTCAGACCTGATGTAACCTTTTCCTCAAATACTTCCCTTTTCCATCTCTCTCCTCTCTCCTCACTGGTCTAAATTCTACTAATTGTATTATCATCAGGACTAGATGAGATGATAAATACAAAGTGCTTAGAATTTTTTAAAAATAGCAAATGTTCAGTAATAATGTTCTTTGAAGCCCCATAGGTACCTTTGCAATGCACTTATCATACTTTTAAAATTGCCTGTTGACGCATAAATCCTCTACTACTCTGAAGTGTTATGTGAGCAGTAGCAAGTTAATCTTATTTATTGCTCCATCCCTAGCATCTAGCAAGTGTCTGGTATAGTAGACATTAAATATGTGGTTGTTGAATTGAACTAAATTGAAATGGAGTGAGCTAAACTTTGGAAGCCAAAATTATACTTTCATTTTTGAACTGTTGCTGTTTAGGACTTTGTAATATCAAATATACACTTTTGTAGGTCTAGAAACTATATCTTCAAGCATATGTTAAATTCTTCAACTGAATAAGCTACTCATGATAAAAATGGATTTCTATAAGGCAAGCAGTGAGTTACTTTATGCTTCTGATTCATGCTATACTTCACATCTGATGCTCATTGCTGACCTACTGTCTATTGCTTAGTAGTTTTAACCAGTAAGAAAGTTATTGATTACTGTGAATATATGCATTGGTGAGAACCATGGTGTATTATATGACCAGAGAAGATTTCCTTTTGCTCCCCATCCCAGGAGATTTGCAAACATCATCTTTGTCTGTGTAACATTCACCATGAGTAATGGGTAAGGCAGCCCTATTATTAGAGCTTAAAATCTATCTTCTAAGTCAAATCCTTACCATTCCTGCAGCTTGTTGCAGCACTAACATGAAGCATATGACCACCAACACCATTGTCTCTGAGAAGAAATGAAGCATTAATGAGATTTATGAGTACATAGAAATAGCTTACTTTATGAACAAAATTATTATAATATTAAGAAATGGACTCATATAACTTTTTGCAGAGATTTTGTAGAATATAAGAACAGATTTTCTTGGTCAGATGAACAGTTTTTCTCAATGAAAGTCAATCTCACCCTTTACCTACAAATGCAGGCTTTATTCTTGTGTTACCCATTGCTAGGTTGGAACCCAGGAATTCTTCTTAATACCTTTATAAAGACAAGAATTTGGGACCTAACCAAAGGAGAAGTTGATCTGTAATAATTCATATCACTGATGAGCATCTCCAGTTGGAGGAAGTTAGTTTAAAACCTTGTCTTAAAAAATTTCTCTCTTGGTCATTATACTTTTTAATGTACCAGAGAACAAAGCAAGTTGCAGATTTGCAAGATTGTACGCTAAAGTTATACAAGTGAATACTCCAAAGAGTGATGGATTTATATTTCCATCACACTCTTACTCTTAGTCCATATAATTCTCCACTGTTATTACTATTATTAAAAAATTGCCAAGTGTTACTTTTATAACAATTCTTTTATTTTAGAAGTTATTTCTTAAAACACCTTTTTCCCATTAAATTTTGCTCTAATTCTTCTTTATGACTATTAAGTATTAATGTTGGCTATCATTGTCCCATTGGGGATCCTGTCTGAAAAGTTGGACAGCCTGCCCCCTTCAACCAATTTGTGTATGACATGGTTTTGACTATCCTCAGTTCCCTAATATCTTTGTTCTGAATATACTGCAGTTTATCTCTACTCCCCATTAAAAAGTGTTAAGTCAAATATGAGTACAATATGCCATGCATGATTCATCTTTTGGTTTATTTGGTATATTGGACCAAGGCAATGCTGAAAAAAATAGTTGATATAAACCCTAATAATTAATACACTCCCATCTACTAGCAGTAAAGTTGAGAATAAAATTAAAGACTACAAAAGTTTTATTCCCACTGTAGACAGCTCTTATTATTAAATAATGCAGCAAATGTTTTACCTGAAATGAGCAGATGGGAAGGAAAAGATGTTTCTATGTCCAAAGAGAGATGAACTTATTTTGTTCCTCAGAACAGCAGTATATATATGAAACACAAATCACTTCTCTTTCCTGTTTGGTTACTCTGAATTGTGCAAGGTAGTAGTAACGTGTGACGGTGAAAACCTCCCCTAAAAGATCTTATCACCTGCTTCAGTACTAAATAAGCCCAATATTGAGTTCTAAAGAAGAATTCAGTTAATAATTGCAGTTCTGCTGTAATTAGGGTTAACAATGTTAGTAATGATAGGTTAGGGAAGACTTAAGTTTTACGACAATGGTCTAGAGAATATAATACAATTTAACTAGATAGAGACGTATGTATTTTTTCTCAAAAGCATTCCATGGAATTACTAACTAATTAGCATTCAGTAAATTGCCCTTGTGTCGTCTAAGCATGATATAAGGCATATTAAAAAAAATCTCACGTTATGTTCCATTATTAAAATCATTCATACAATCTGAGATTTAATGAATGCAGGAAAATAATTTTTACCTTATTTTTATCATCAAATGACACCATATTGAAATAATGTGTTCAAATAATTTTCTAGAAACACAGTATCATAATTTGATGAAAGAAAAGATCTCCCAAATACATCAAAGGGGGAAAAATGAGTTTGACATATGTAATAAATTTATTCTAAAAACTGTTAATTTTTCATGCTTTCATTAAAAAATAGTTTTCCTCCAAGATTGTGTTAATCTAGATTGGAAAGGCAGCCACAATAGTGTTTTAGGGAGTGGTCTCTGCAGCCAGTCGCCCTTGTTCATATCCCAGCTTCGCTGCTCACTAACCAAGAAAACATAAGCAAGTGATATATTTTCCTCGTGCCTCAATTTTCTCAACTATAAAATGGGGTAATCTTAATAACCATGAGATGTTAGAGTTATTATGAAATAAGTTAATTCAGTTGAAACTCTTAGCACTTGCAATATTGTAGGCACTTAGTGACCGTTATTATTATATTTCACTAATTTTTAATTAATTAATTTATTAGTAACACAGGACAAAGCAAGATACTATGGAGTATGGAAAGAACTATATGGGGGGGGGGGCGGCCCCAGGCCATAGTGGTTAAGTTTCCCGTGCTCTGCTTCAGCATCCAGGGTTCACAGTTTGGATATTGGTGCCAACCTACACCACTCCTCAGCCATGCTGTGGCAGTGACCCACATACAAAATAGAAGAAGACTGGCACAGATATTAGCTCAGGGGTAATCCTCCTTAGGAAAAAAAAAAGAAAGAAGTATATGTGGAAGAAGTGATAGCAACCTGGTAGCATAAGATGTTCCTCCTTTTTATTCCCCTTTTTAATCAACAAATTAGACAATCATACATAAACAAAGGCACCTTTGTGGATATTTTGGAACCTAGGACTTTTACTCCAAGAGTCCAGAGAGGAATTTCACTTACCAATGCAGCTGGTAAGATACAGACAAACCTCCATCTGAGCTGTGGAACCAGCGGAGCCAGCAAAACTGCCTAGACCCCTCTTGCCACAGTTGGGCAAAAAGTCAGGTGGCTTACGCCTAAGCAGGCACTCAGGTACGAGTGAGTGCAGAAGTCTAGCCTTCCCGAAGGGAGACTCTAGCACAACACTGGAGGAAAAAGAAAAAATAGGAATCTAGTCACAGTGGAGTTGGTAACAGAAGCTTTCTTGGCACCTCCCTTCCCCCAAGGAAACACTGTAGGGAGCTGATTTATCCAGCAGAAGCGATCTCTCCCGCAGGGAAAAAGGAAAGTGGTGCGTGACAGCCCAGCTACCCCAGCTGGGCGGGATGCGGCTGGAGAAACCCATTTCTCCCCACCAGCACCTGGAGTAGTAAGGTGGGAGCTTTAGCCTGGGGGGACAGAGGACATTGGGAAAGAGGCAGATAAGAATTTCAAACAGTGTTAAAGGGATTGTGCTCAGCAGAAATTCTACCCACCAATGTCTTGGGGTGCCATCCCTGGAAATCTCCCTACCAGGTCCATGGGCACCCCCAATGCACCAAATGCTAAACCCACATCACCTTCAACTCTACTGTCAGCTTTTTGTGTGTGCTCCCCAGTGCACCTGTGAGAAGGTACTCTGGAAAACTGGGAGCATAGTCAGTAAAGAGGCCGCAGTTGATGGGCAAGGGATAAACTACAAAGTTGAGCTATAGCGCCACCTTCTGGAAAACAACAGAGGATTCCAAAGTCAGCTGGGTGAATTAAAAGAACCAGAATAGACACAAAAGATTAAAAATTCACCCTCAAGGGGAAACAAGAAAAGTGCAGCAGATACAGTTTCACAAAAACTGAAGAAAACACACCTCACATAATAGAAATAAAACTCCATCTGCTGAAGACAATGGATAAAGAGTTGAAGAAGTGTCTGCTACTTCAAAGGGAAAGCAGAAATGCATAACTACAAGTAACAAGAAAAATCAAGATAATATGGCATCACACAAAGAAAATAACAATAATTCTCCAGAAATTGACTTCAAAGACATGGAATATTGTGATATAACCAATAAAGAATCCAAAATAACTGGTATGAAGAAACTCAATGAGTTATAGAAAACTCAGAAAGAAAATTCTGTGAAATCAGGAATAAAATATGAACAAAATGACTTCTTTACCAAAGGGATTGCAATTACAAAAAAGAAACAAGTATAAATTCTGGAGCTGAAGAAATCAACAAATGAGATGAAGAATGCAATAGAGAGCATCTGTAGCAGGGCAGAGCAAATGGAAGGAATGGTAAATGAATTAGAGGATAGGAATTTTGAAATTGTAGTTAGAAGAGAAAAAGAAACTAAAATTAAAAAGAGTGAGAAAGCCTACCAGAGTTATTAGATTCCATCAGAGAGATAAATATCAGAATAATCGGAAATGTAGGAGAAGAGAAAAAGGGTGCAGAAAGTATATTTAAAGAAATAATAGCTGAGGACTTCGCAAACCTGGAGAAAGACAGAATTATAAGTCCACGAAACTAATAGGACATCTTATTATCTCAATGCAAGAAGATCTCCAAGATATGTTATAATGAAACTGTCAAAAATCAATGGTAAAGAAAGAATCCCAAAGGCAGCCACAGGGAAAAAAGGTAACCTACAAAGGAACCCCTTTAGACCATCAGCAGATTTCTCAGCAGAAACTCTACAGCCCAGGAGAGAGTGGAATGACATATTGAAAATGTTGAAAGATAAAAATTGCTAGCCAAGAACACTTTCCCTGGCAAAGTTATCCTTCAGATATAAAGGAGAAATAAAGGCTTTCCCAGACAAACAAAAGACCGAGTTCACTATCACTAAACCTGCATACAAGAAATGCTGAAAGGAGTTCTTCAAGCTGAAATGAAAAGACGCTGATTGGTGATATGAAAGTACACAGTACATTGGTAATGGTGAAAAATGTACAGTCAGACTTAGAAAAATGTAACTCTATATTAGGATAGTGTACTAACCACTCAACTATTGTATAAAAGTTGAAGGAAAAGAGTAGTAAAAAAAACTATAGCTACTATAAACTGCTAACAAATACAACATAAAAAGTGGTAGATTATGACATCAGTAACATGAAAGGGAGGAGGAAAAGGCTGAAGCCTTCATAGGCGATTGAAGATAAGCTGCTATCAGTTGCAAATGGATTATTTTATTTATAAAATGTTTTATGTAAACCCCATGGTAACCACAAAACAAAAACCGAGAGTAGGTCCACAAAAGACAAATAAAGAGGAACAAATCATATCACCATGGAAAACAACCAATCTACAAAGGTAGGCAGAAAAAGAGGGAAAAAGAAACATTGGAAATACAAAACAATCAGAAAGTGATTAATAAGATGGCATTAGTAAGTCTTTACATATCAATTATTACTCTAAGTGTAAATGGATTGAATTTGCCAAGCAAAAGGCACAGAGTGACTGGACAGATAAAAAAGAAGCCTCAATTATATGCTGCTAAAAGAGACCCAATTCAGAATTAAGGATCCACATAGACTGAAAGTGAAAAAGTGGAAAAAGATATCCCATGCAAGTGGAAACCAAAAGAAAGCAGTGGTAGATATACTTATATCAGACAAGATAAAATTTAAGACAAAAACAGTAAGAAGAGACAAGGAAGGTTATTATATAATGGTTCATCATATACAAATCTATAAATGTGATATACCATATTAATAGAATGAAAGAAAAAAATCATATGATCATCTCAATAAATACAGAAAAAGCATTTGACAAATACAACATCCCTTCATGATAAAAACTCTCAATAGTCGGGTATAGAAGGAACATACCTCAACATAGCAAAGACCATATACGACAAACCCACAGTTATTATACTCAATGGAGAAAATTAAAAGCCTTTCTTCTAAAATCAGAAACAAGACAAGGGTGACCACTCTCAACTCTTATTCGACATTGTACTGGAAGTCCTAGCTAGAGCAATCAGGCAAGACAAAGAAGTAAAAGGCATCCAAATCAGAAAGGAAGAAGTAAAATTATTGCTATTTGCAGATGATATCATCTTATATACTGAAAATTCCAAAGGCTCAACTAAAAAACTGTTGGATCAAATCAATGAATTCAGTAAAATTCAAGAATATAAAATCAATACAAGGAATCAGTTGCATTTCTATGCACTAACATGAAACATCTGAAAAAAAAATAAAACTATTCCATTCAAAATAGCATCAAAAACAATACGTTATCTAGGAATAAATTTAACCAAAGAAGTGAAAGATCTGTACAATGAAAACTAAAAGACTTTGCTGAAAGAAATCAAAAAAGACAAAACAAATGGAAAGACATCCTGTGTTCATGAATTGGAAGAGCTAATATTGGTAAAATGTCTATGCTACCTAAAGTCATCTATAGATTCAACTCAATCCCCATCAAAATTCCAATAGCATTTTTCACATAAATAGAAAAAAATCAATGCTAAAATTATTATGGAGCCAGGAAAGACTCCGAATAGCCAAAGCAATCATGAGATAGAAGACTTTTGAGGCATCACACTTTCTTATTTGATATTATACTACAAAGCTATAGTAATTTAAACAGTATGGTACTGGCATAAAAATAGACACATAGATCAATGGAACAGAATAGAGAGCGCAGAACTAAAGCCCTGTATATATAGTTAATTGATATTTGAAAAAGGAGCAAAGAGCATCCAATGGGGAAAGAATGGTTTCTTCAACAAATGTGTTAGGAAAACTGGATAACCACATGCAGAACAATGAAATTGGATCCCTATCTTACACCCTTCACAAAAATTAACTCAAAATGAATCAATGACTTAAACATAAGACTTGAAAACATAAAATTCTTAGAAGAAAACATAGGGAAGAAGCTCCTTGACATTGATCTTGGCCAAGATTTTTTGGATATGACATTACAAGCACAAACAACAAAAGAAAAATTCAACAAGTGGGACTACATCAAACTTAAAAGCTTCTGCATAGCAAAATAAACAACAAAATGAAAAAGTAAACTGTGAAATGGGAGAAAATATTTGCAAACCATGTATTGGATAAGAGGTTAATATTCAAAATTTGTGAAGAACTCATACAACTCAAAACAAAAAGACAAACAATCCAATTAAAAACTAGGCAGAGGAACTAAATAGATATTTTTTCAAAGAAGACACCTAAATGGCCAACAGGCACATGGAAAGGTGCTCAATATCACTAATCATCAGGGAAGTAAAATCAAAGCCACAATGAGATGTCACCTCATACTTTTTAGAATGGCTATCATCAAGAAGACAAAAGATAAGAAATGTTGGTAAGGATGTGGAGAAAAGGGAATAATTGTGTACAGTTGACACAGCCACTATGGAGAACAATATAGAGGTTCCTTAAAAAATTAAAAATAGGGGCCGGCTCTGTGGCCAAGTGGTTGGGTTTGCGTGCTCCGCTGCGGCGGCCCAGGGTTCGGATCCTGGGCGCAGACATGGCACTGCTCGTCGGGCCACGTTGAGACGGCGTCCCGCATCCCACAACTAGAAGGACCTGCGACTAAGATATACAACTGTGTACAGGGGGGCTTTGGGGAGATAAAGCAGAAAAAAAAAAAGAAAAGATTGGCAACAGTTGTTAGCCCAGGTGCCAATCTTTAAAAAAAAAAATTAAAAATAGAACTACCATACAATCCAGCAATCCTGCTTTTGAGTATATATGCAAAGGAAATAAAAACAGGTTATCAAAGAGATTTATGCACTCTGTGTTTATGTCAGCATTATTCACAACAGCCAAGATATATGTCCATCAATGGATGAGTGGATAAAGAAGAGGTGGTATATATAATACTATTTAACCACGAGAAAAAAGAAAATCCTGTCATTTGCAGCAACATGAGTGGACCTTGAGGACATTATGCTAAGTGAGATAAGTCAGACAGAGAAAAACAAATACTGTATGGTATCTCTAATATGTGGAATTAAAAAAAAGCCGAGCTCCAAAAAACAGAGTGGAATGGTGGTTACCAGGGGCTGGGGAATGGGAGAGATGTTGTTTAAGGGTACATACATGCAACTAACAAAAAAGTGAGTCATGGAGATTTAAACCATTTAAAACTCAGCCTGCTGGCAAGAGTCAAATTAAGCAAAAGACAATCCCACCTATTGCTAAAACCTCTGAAAAGATTAAGGAGTCTTAGAGTAAGGGTCAAATTTAGTATATAGCTCCCAGCAAATACTTCCTCCGGGAAAAATAGCTCAGAAAAGAATATTGCTTTCTTACCAAAGCAACATCA